GAACAAATGGCGCAGTAACTCAAACAAAAGAAAATCAATGACTCCTTCAAATTTTAGGCAAAACCATAGCTAAATTTCACTAAGCAAGGCGAAGGAAAATATACAGTTAAACGGATTAATTCTATCAAAAATAAGAACGAAACATGACTATAAGATTCAGATTCAGCTTAAAGGAGCAGAATAAAATCTAATTATGCTAACATATTACTACCAAACTACCCTAAACAGAATTTATAAACACTCATAAAGAAAATTGTAGAAACAAAGAAATATTACCTGGTTCTGGGCAGCGAATCGGAACGACGAGTTCGACGGAGGCGATTCCACCTCTTCAACTCGAAAAACCACAAAAAAAAACTTTCAACTATTGAACTGAGAATTCCAAAACCTTATAGGGGTACTCTCAGGTCTCAAAAACCGTCCTTGAACAGTAAGAAGGAGGCTATTTATAGGGGTTGAGACTCCCTTAAACAGTAAGAAGGAGGCTATTTATAGGGGTTGAGAAATCCGAAAAAATATAGCCTAGAATCGATGTGGGACTGTGAGTAATTTGAAAATTCTTGACTGGATAAGGCTGGAACAGTACTAGGCGTACTGTTTGTCGAGGGAAAGGAAGAAGACGACGAGAATAAAGCTGTGTACCGCCTGTACGCGTAGGGCGTACTATTCCGTCTATTTGACGCCGTGGACTGGCTGCTACTTTCCGTCTACTGGCTGTGTACCTTTGAATTGAAAGGAATGTTGTTGGGTTTCTTTTGTTGGTGAAGGGATTGGGCCGGGTCATCTGGAGGGGCTGGAAATAAGAGAAAAAAAAATGGAATTGAGAATGGGAAGGTTGTGGGCTGAGATTTGAAATGAAATGCCCAAAAATGGGTCTTACAAAGAGTGAAGACAAGGCAAATGAAAGTAGCTAGAATTGCAATTATGGCCATTTAGCCAACTCGAGTTATTTAGTGAATTCGGCTAAAAACTAAATAAAATGAATTAACATAAATTAATTAATGAGCTTCTTAATCTTAACGAAATAAAAATAATTAACTTAATTATAAACTAATAGATTCAAAATTATAATCATAATTTAAACTAAGCTAATTTGATAAAATACTTACTAAAGTTAAAATTGAGTTCCTAATGTTTATAAAATATACTAATTACATACAAAATTATATAAAGTATATGTATTACTTAAAAAATTATAAGAATGATAAAATTAATTAAAAGTAACTTGAAAAGTATTTTTGAAATTTTATAAAAACTAATTATTTCAAATCATTTGAAATTTAAGAAGCTCGGTGATTAATTTATATTATTGTAGAGGTCCAAAATTGGATGTCAACAGCTGCCCCTCGTTTGACTGGGATGGATGAAAGAGATCCGAGGCAAACGAAGTTGACGAATCCAATTTTGTCCAACCACTAATTCATCTCTTTGGAATGGTTAATGGTAAGGATTTATGAGGAATTATGGCCGAACTCTGGTATTGAGTTTCCTACTTATCTCAGGTTACATGAGAAGTCAGGCCACTAGTAGTTCGAAAGACTCTTGATTTAACGCACAATTTGAAAGAATGCAAAAGCTATCTTGGTGTCGAAGTATGGAGAGACCGAAAAGCTTGAGAATGGAGTGGTGACAGAATTGTCGGAGTACAGTCAGGTTTTCAACATTTAGTCCGCCTACATATCCCTAAAGTTTGGGAATCAGACTGCTTATAGTTCGACTCAATCGGTTGAAAAGGAAATCTCTTATGTGGAAATAACCTTTAGCTTAAGGATGAGTGACAAATTAATTGAGCATGGAAAAAGGCTTGCAAACATTTCAACTATGAATGTGGGGCCCTTCACACCCATATGTAAGAACTTACATGGACATAACTTCCAAAGCTCTAGGGGTATTGTCACTCGAATTTGAAAATTTGCCTCTCATGAGAGTTGAAAATTTCACTGAAGGCGAAACTGAAACTATTAAGTCCCAAGAAATACCCACACACCTTAGGATAGGGATGTGGTTTGATTGTGGTGGAAGTCGTCCCTCAACTCGCGTCCTAAGAGTTTGATATTCCTCTTTGGACTATGTCCCAGTTCGCTGCTAAGATAAAGTTCCACGTTGTGTTGCGTCCTATTTTGACGTAGTCCACTTCGCGTGTTTCAAAATCTGGAAAAAATCCTCAGTAGAAAATGTAATATAAATACAAATACAATTTGTGCAAACCTGGTTTAACATGTCATACTGAAGGGGATGCCGATCCAATTTCAAGTGTATTTCTCTTGAAGGAAGTGGTGATCCAAAATGGTGTGTCGATTTGAACGATGTGATGATTCGATAACATTATACAACGTGTCACGTTGAAGAAAGTGACTCTCCAATAGAACATTTAATGTGTCACATTGAAGGAAGTGACACTCCAATAATAGTTTAATATGTCGCGTTGAAAGAAGTGACGCTCCAATCATAATTTAACATGTCACGTTGAAGGAAGTGACGCTCCAATAATATAACTTGTCACGTTGAATGGAGTGACGCTCCAATAATAAATTAATGTGTCACGTTGAAGGAAGTGACTCTCCAATAATAAATTAATGTGTCACGTTGAAGGAAGTGACGCTCCAATAATAAATTAATGTGTCACGTTGAAGGAAGTGACGCTCCAATAATAAATTAATGTGTCACGTTGAAGGAAGTGACGCTCCAATAATAAATTAATGTGTCACGTTGAAGGAAGTGACGCTCCAATAATAAATTAATGTGTCACGTTGAAGGAAGTGACGCTCCAATAATAAATTAATGTGTCACGTTGAAGGAAGTGACGCTCCAATAATAAATTAATGTGTCACGTTGAAGGAAGTGACGCTCCAATAATAAATTAATGTGTCACGTTGAAGGAAGTGACGCTCCAATAATAAATTAATGTGTCACGTTGAAGGAAGTGACGCTCCAATAATAAATTAATGTGTCACGTTGAAGGAAGTGACGCTCCAATAATAAATTAATGTGTCACGTTGAAGGAAGTGACGCTCCAATAATAAATTAATGTGTCACGTTGAAGGAAGTGACGCTCCAATAATAATTTAATGTGTCACGTTGAAGGAAGTGACGCTCCAATAATAAATTAATGTGTCACGTTGAAGGAAGTGACGCTCCAATAATATACCCTAACAATGAAGAACAAATCTCAAAAATAGGGAGTAAGGTTATAACATAACAATTTGATTAGCTCCTTGTAGTTTGTGAAGCCGATAACATCTCTGGTTGTCATTAAAACTTTGTCGTCCCTGCGCTCATAGAAAATTTGTTAGTTAAGAATAGAGAGATTAACAAACGTCAAGACTTTTAAACGCATCAAGACGACCTGGTAGCCATAGAGAACGAGAGGATCTGGAAGAACGATTTGAGAACTTTAAACGTTGAAAGGAGGCACTAATGGCCAACTAGAGATGTCACACAAGGTGTGCCCCTACTTTAAAAAGATCTCTTGCAAAGAGAAAACTCGCTTGACACAGAATATCTTTGAAACATGAGGTTGAACAGAGATTTTGAGAATTTTGAACTATTTCAAAAAGTTACCCATGTTTCCAGTACTTAACTGAAATAATTTGCAAAATAATATGAGGGATGACTGATTCAAAAATATGCCCCAGTTTCCTCTAAGGTATGTAATTTGAAACAGTTAGTAGACCGAATCCTTATATAGGATTGCCTACATATCTTGCTGGAACAAGAAATCAGGTCTGACGTAGTTCGAACCTGGAACTTAACGGAATTTAAAGAGGACGTAAGATTTGCCATAAAAAGGCAATGGATTTGAAACAAGGAAGGACAAAGTTCTTCAACATAAAATATAGGATAAGAGTCAGATTGTTGGATTGGATCCTTGGTGTCGGGAATCCTTCAGGATGGAATTTGAAAAAGGTTGGCTCTTGCCATTTTTATTTTTTTTGGTGAATATCTGATTTGAATATTCAAAACCTCAAAATATCTTTTGAAATTTTGCTTTCAATTCTGGTAATGATACCTGCAAAACTCAGTCGTGAGTTAGTAACAAAATAAACTTATCAAAGTAAATGATATAACAAAAGATGAGTTAAGGATGAAGTTGTTCAGCATTATATTGGTCTGGATAGCATTTTATGGCCTTCGCCATTGTGCCGAGCTATTCTATCTGTAGAATTGAGAATGTGTGAGTCACAATGAATTGAAAGGAAAAAAAATTTAGAAGAAGAGTAAGAGTATAAATCATCTGATCTATGACGAGGCCACAGTAGGTCTAATGATGCCTTGTAACTTTGTAGTTCCTACATTAAAAGAAAAATTCTTAGTTTTGAGAGACTGATTCATGTTGGCTTTGCCTTGCTATCCTGATGCTCCTTTGCCTTCTGGATTACAAGCTTGTCCGGTCTTGAAATGTCGCTTGATGAAATTTTTGAGGACCTCCTCAAAAATTCTGCCCCGGTGTAAAACATAATGTAACTTTGAACTTTCTGTAGTTTTTTAGTTGAATTTTTGAGTGAATCTCAAAAATTCTGCCCCAGTTGTAACTCTAAACTGATCCTTGATTTTGACTTGTTGGAAAAATTCCTCTTCCAACGAATTTTGAGATCCTCTCAAAATTCTGCCCCAGTTTTCATTATAAAGGGAAATGAAAAACTTACGGGGAATATGACCGAGCTGGTGTGGCGCCTACGTATCCCGTTGAGCAGGAATCAGGTCAAACGTAGTTCCACTCTGGAGGATAAACAGGAATAGAAAAATTTAACTAAGGAAATGACCGAAGCCGACATAGGCCGCCTACGTATCTCTCTCTTGAGAATTCAGGTCAGACGTAGTTCATTAAAGATGAAAGCTTCTTACAAATAAAATCCCAACAAACGATTACAAATAAAACAAAGCGATAGAAAGCGATTACAGGGAAATGAAACAACAAACTCCAAATGCAAGACTAAAAGATGCCAAAAGTGCGACTTCCAGGAAACTTGCTTCTTCTTTGCAACTAGTTATGCCAACAACTACTCCTTATGCTTGGGTAGTGGATTGGTGTACACATTCGGTGGAGCTTGAGCAAGTTTTACCACCTCGTTATCAATTAGATCTTGAATTTTGTGCTTCAGAGTGATGCACCTCTCGGTATCATGCCCAATAACTCCTGAATGATAAGCACAATGCTTATTTGGGTCATACCACTCGGCTGAAGTATTCACAGTCTTGGCTTCCACTGGATGAAGTATTCCTGCCTCTTTCAATCTCTCGAAAAGTTGAGTCCGTGTCTCACACAACGGGGTGAAGACTCGGGGAGGCTTTTTCTCAAAATTGGGACGAGGTGCATTGTTTCGATGATTTTGCATTGGTCGTGAAGGACGAAATGTTGCTTGATTGTTGCAAACATAGTATTGTGAACCAGGATAGCCTAGAGGTGGTTGACGGTTATATGAGGTATCTCCTCGAGTCGTTAACATCATAACCTCTTTCTCCTTTTTCTTTCCAAAGGAACCAGTTTGATAGGCCCTATTAGCAAACTGAGATGAGGTGTAACTTGTAATTCTGCCAGTCTTGAGACCGTCTTCAATCATTTCTCCGGCTTTGATAACTTCCGCAAATGTCTTTCCACCCATTGTCACCATTCGCTCGTAGTATTCTGAGTCTTGAGCTTGAATGAAGTAGGTGATCATTTCTGATTCCTCCATAGGTGGGTGCACCCTAGCAGCTTCTTCCCTCCAACGAATGGCATATTCTCGAAAACATTCAGTCGACTTTGGTTTTAGCTTGGTAATAGAGATCCTATCAGGAGCAATTTCAACATGAAACTTGTAGTGATCCACAAAAGCATTCGCTGGATCATCCCAAGTACGCCATTTAGTCACATCTTGCTTTGAGTACCACTCCAAGGCTTTTCCAGTCAGACTTTGATTGAAAAGCTTGATTCTTATCCCTTCGTTGTTTCCAACGCCAATCAACTTTTCACAGTAAATTTTCAAGTGAAAGAAAGGATTTCCTGATCCACTGAACTTCTCAAACTTCGGAATTTTGTAACCAAGTGGAAGCTCAATTTCGGGGAATGTGCACAACTCTTCATATCTCACACTCTGGCTAGTATCGAACCCACGAAGACCTCTCATAGCATCCTCTAAGCTTTTCATCTTCCTATTCATCATTTCAGCATCGATTGATCTTGCATCGTTTTCAATTTCAACATAGTGATTAACATCTTGGCGATGAAACTCTTGAGCCTTGGTAACAGGTGGAGCAGCGACATAAGTGTACACTGGCGGAGCACGATGTGTTACCGTTGGAGGTTTTGGGGGAGCAAATGTGTACACAAGAGGAGTATCCTGAGTCGAATGAGTGAGTGAGGCGCTTTGAGCTGGCTGAAAGGTGGTAAAATGTTCTCCTTGATTGAGCTCACTTGAAGTTGGAAACGAAGGTGGCATGGGCCCTTTTTGGCGAGCATCAGGTGGTAGGTTCTGAGAAGCAGCTTGGAAATGAGCTACTAGGAGATTCAGTTCACCAATTTGTCGCTCTAGACGAGCAATGACTTCCATGGGTGATTCTGTTGCTACCGAGGCACTAGGATTAGCCGCGACAGATGGAGTGGGGATCATTTCGGATGAAGCAACCGTGTTGATAGTGGAATCCATTTTTGTACGAGTCCTCTTAGTAGTCCAAGTAAGAAATGATGAGTCTGATGCGATTTTCTTGACCTTAGACCGTGTAAAATATGAATGTTCTGCCAGCGGGTACTTTGATGAAGTGAGCAAGTTTGATTACCAACACAAATCAGTCTCTTCTTCTAAAAATAACTCAAGAAATAAGAGAGTTAGTCTATTAGTCATAATAATCAACAAAAGTAACTTATAAAACAAATAACATTTGTTTTGCTTAAAACAAATTAGTCCAAAATCCGAAGACCAAAAGATTCTAAAAGGATGACAAAATGGGAAAAATTTTGATCATTTTGTGAACTAAAATTTTAGCGAAATAAAGGAATTTGAACAAGGCAAACTATATGATTTGAGTAAAGATTCAAATGTACCTTTTGGAAGGTTCAATTGAAAAGCCCTTTCGAGAAATAAGGACTTAAGACTTGAAACTGACGGAATATTTAGTAACGCCGGCTAGGTAGGTGTGGAAAATAATTTTCAAGAATGATGAGGTCAACATGAATTTAAGTGACGACATAATAATTATTTAAAGCTCTATTGAACCTATAGCTTGAGTGATTTTGAACGTATTTTGATAATCGGGTCAAAGAGTATTTCTGGAGGGATAAAAAATTGAGCTTAAGATTTTGAGACTTTGGAATGGACTAATTATGTTTAAAGCAAAACATATGTATAGAACACATAAGTCAAACAAGCACAAATGGAATGGAATAACGGACTAATTATGTTTAAAGCAAGACATATGTATAGAACACATAAGTCAAACAAGCACAAATGAAACAAGATTTGTAACATTTAACACACAAACAATATATAACGTCTCCTAACATACATGTGACCTTTTTGAACCAAAGGTGGGCCTAACGTTTGAAGGATGTGTATATCGATTGTGAAACATTTCATTGCCCCAAAAAATCTTTCTACAAACCTTATGAATAAAACGAATAGGGATACATATTAGAGGAGAGGGAAATAAATATCAGTACCGCGCAGGGGTACAATGGTAAACTAAACTAAGCTTCCATATGTAATCTTCATTCCCGAACTTCTTG